GCCTCTCAGGAATAGTAAATGATTCACCTCCCCAAATCGAGGTGTGTGGGAGGAGACACAGGTGAGAGGTTTTGCCCCTGGGGCGATCAGAGAGGTGAGGCCCCCTCGTGGGTGTGGCTTTTGCCTCATTAACCAAAACACCGATGATTTTACCTGCAGGGAAGCCACCAGTGCTCATTCATGTAACATCTGCTGTGGTTTTGTCCCGGGGGCTGCAGGTACAACAGCCTGGTGACCGGCAAGCGGGCGAGGGGACTCATCGCAGTGCTGTGGCTCCTGTCCTTTGGGATTGGACTGACCCCACTGATGGGCTGGAATAAAGCCATGAGTGGCTGTCCCAATGCCACCAACGAGACAGGGACAGAGCCCCACGGCTGCTTCGTCTCGTGCCTCTTTGAGAACGTGGTGACCATGAGCTACATGGTCTACTTCAACTTCTTTGGCTGCGTGCTGCTCCCGCTCGTCATCATGCTGGGGATCTACATCAAGATATTCATGGTGGCCTGCAAGCAGCTGCACCAGATCGAGCTGATGGGCAACTCCAGGACCACCCTGCAGAAGGAGGTGCACGCAGCCAAGTCTCTGGCCATCATCGTGGGGCTTTTTGCCTTCTGCTGGCTGCCCCTGCACATCTTGAACTGCATCACGCACTTCCATGAGGACTTCTCCAGATCCAAGCCCGAGTGGGTGATGTACGTGGCCATCATCCTGTCCCACGCCAACTCTGTCATCAACCCCATCATCTACGCCTACAGGATCCGGGATTTCCGCTGCACCTTCCGCAAGATCCTCTCCAAGATGCTCTGCAAGGCCGACGAGCTCCCCAAGTGCCCCTCTGAGCACAACCAGCACCTGACTGTCATCAACATCAGCTCCCCGCCCGCCTCGGTGACCGTGTGACCCTGCCCCGCTGCCCCTGGCACTGCCCTTCCCCGGAGCAGTCCCAGGAGTGCTCAGACATGACCACTATGCACTCGTGCAGCTGTGTTTTTATTTTTATTTTTGTAATGAACGTTGTGCCTGGTAGAGGAGTGACCTGAGCGGGGACGCTGAGCGCAGCTCGCCCTCCTCTGTAGCCCCAGGGGGACTGAGAGCTGTGATCCCCTTGTGTTTCCTTTCCAGGTGTTTCCTTTCCAGGCTGGACACTGACTGGAGAAGACTCACCTGCTGGGGGGTGTTTCCCCAGTTGTGCTGCTCATGTCAAGTCATAGGATCTTTATTTTAATTATTATTATTATTATTATTTTTTAATATTTCGATTCATTTAGGAGTAATAATTTTGTGTCTGTTTTTTGAGTTGTTCCCTAAGCTCATACTTGACAGCACTTTGGTAATACTCTAATTATTCCATCAATTGTTTGATGCAGCTTGTATTCTCTGATGGGAAAAAGTCTTACTTAGCCCAGTTGCTGGTGTGAAACTGAATCTGTGTTCCAGGCACTGAGGGGTGGGACTGTGAGGATGGGAAAGCCAGGTCAGAACTGGCCAGCCCAGCATGGAAACCCCATTTACTGAAAGATTTGAGAAAAGCTTTTAGGGCAGAGGTTTCACTGCCTTTAAATCACTTTGGTTCACAGGACTGTGCAGCCCAGTGCTTCAGGTTTGCTTCCAGATCTGTTTCCAGCATCAAAACACAGGAGGCAGAGGTGCCCCAATGGTCCTGGCTGGTCTGAACCACAGCCACCAAGGCCAGTGTCACTCTGCCTTGGGGACACGAGTTCCACCATTGGGTTTTTGCTCTGCCAGCCTTGCAGAGCTTCCTCAAGTGCAGGTTTTAGCTGGGAGAGGTGGATGCTGCAGCTCACCTGACTCCTAAAACTTGGTCTGGCTGGGGCACCCCTGCAGCCCTGTAACCCCCAGAAGCTGTGAATGCTTTTTTTTTTCCCCTAACAGTAACTTTTATATTTTTATCCCTGAAAAATTGTACTTGAATCACACAGAAATCAACTCTATATTTTTTTCAATTCTGTTGCACTGAAAGGGGGGTACAAGACCCCAAGAGTTTCATTTCTCTGGCATATATAATGACAAATATGGTGTAAAACCAATTGAAAAGCTGAGGAAATCTTGTTCCTGCAGCATCTCCTCTGCCAGCTGGCAAGAGCTGCAGGCAGCAGCTGCAGGAATGACTCTGGGCCCACCATGCACAGGGAATGGTTCCCTGGCAGTGCTGGATTTCACTGCAGCTCAGCCCCAGGCCTGGGTGACATCCCCAGAGAGCTCTGAATGGGGTTGCACGTGTTTATGCAATATCCAAATTTAGCTGCAGCTCAGTGCCTCAGACATGGGCACTCCCAGCCCCAGTCTGAGCAGTTCAAGTCCCTGTCCCAGGGGCTTCTCCTTTACCTGCCCCATTCAACTTTGCTGCATCTGCCTTGCCAGGGGCCAGCTGACCCAGGGGCCACCTCCTGCCACCCCTCCCTCCACCCCTTCTCCTCGGTGTTATCTGTGTTCCTCCTGGTAATCAGGGCTGGAAACCAGCAGGGTTTCACCTGCAGCCCTGGCCGTGCTGCCAGGTGGTTGCAAGCCACATTTATCCTCACAACAAAGGATGGAATCTCTCCCTTTGGCTGCCTGAAACCGACCCAAACTCACAGCAGCAACAGAGTGAAACTCTCAGTGCTGAAACACCAACACTTGTCCACGTGTGAGAGCTTCCAGTGCAGCTCAGCACCACCACTGCTCCCTTGCCATGGCTCCCATGAGCCAGAATCCCTGCAGGTGGATGTGGAGCATCCTTAGTCCAGCTGTGCCTTTGGGCTGTCAGGCCATGGTCACTGGGCACAGCAAGGGCCTTGGTGTATCTCAGCCAAAAGCCATTGCAAGGCAAAATAAAAACAGGACACCTCCCTTGCCCCCCTCAATTAAAAGCTCTGAAGTTTCCTATAAAAATGTAAAGCAAAAACAGCAGAGGAACTTCCTGTAGCCAGTGCAGCTGTGGCCATTGAGCTGTCCCTGTTCTGTTGGAAGTGTTCTCCTCATGTTGCTGAGATTTTGTATTTGCAGGAACTGTTATTTACATACAAAAATGCTTCATTTACCACCCATGCCACCTGGCTCAGCCCATTCCCCATTATTTCTGGTGGCTGATGCAGCACCAGAGGCCACACTGCCCTCAGGGAGCACAGAGCAGGGACAGGGAATCACAGCTGGAAGGAGCTGGCTCCCAGGGAAGCAGCCTTGAGGTGCTCAGTGTGTCTGAAAATGTTTGATTTAAGCACAGCAACTATGTTGATGCTTCCAAGGATCCTGTTCCACTGGAGACACAGAGCTGTCACCAGTCTCAGGGTGCTGAGGGGGTCCCTGCCCTAGTCCCTGGACCAGGTTTGCCACTGAAAAATCAGAAATTGTTCTGAGCTGCCACCTGCAAAGAGCCACATCAGTTCTTTAATCTGTGGATCACTGACACCTGCAGGTTTGCATCCTAACTTCACAATTATGACAGATTAGTTCAAGCATCTTCAGAAATCCCAAAAACAGAATAAATAAACAAAACTGAAGTCAACACAGGCCTAATTAATAAATTTATCAGTGCCAGGCTGCTAATTAATGTCACAGTTGGCTGCAGCACAGGAAGAAATTACCAGCCTCAATGAGCATTTGACAGCCTTGTAGATATTAAAAACGCCAGGAGTGATCCGAATCCTTCATCCTTCATCCTTCATCCTCTTCCTCAGCCAGGAGGATGTTTGTGAGCTGCTCCTCAGACACAGCCAGCTCCTGGCAGGCTCCCAAGGCCTGGCTGAGGTAGACAGCCAGGATGTGTTTGCACTGCAAAGTTAACAGCAGGAGCAAGGCTGGAGTGCCAGGCTCTGTCAGGCCCAGGAGCCCATCCTGGCCAAAATGTGCTCAGGGAAGTGCTCAGCCCCTCCAGGAACGTGGTTCCCTCCTGGCACACGTGGTGCTCAGTGTCCCCAGTTCTGCCACCAGGACAGTGCCACGCAGGGAGCTGGCACAGCTCCTGGCACCCTCCCCACCCCTGCTGAGCACCAAAAGCCCTCCCTGCACCCAGAGTCTGGGGCTCTCAGAGGCCACACACAGTGGTCAGGCTCAGCCTGCGTGGCCAGCTCCCCACTCGTGTTTGGGGAATTTTGGGGTTCAAGGAGCAGGGCAGAGCCTGGTCCCCTGCCCCTGGCAGCCCCAGGCTGGGCACAGAACTCACCAGAAGGCTCTCGCTCTTCTGCAGCACAGAAAACCCAAAGGCAGGGCAGGTGCAGAAGTGGCAGGAGCTGTAGCAGGTGTAGAGTTTGCCTGAGCTCCCAAGGACCTGAAAGAGAGGCAGATGAGGAGTCAGAGGCAGGATTCACTTTAATTTCTCTGACTCAGGCTGGGTCTGCACTGCCCCAGCAGTGAGGGGGAGATGCCACAGCACAGAAGTGTCCCCATGCACTGCAGTGACCCACCTAAGCCTGAAGCTCCTCAGGTTTCTCATGGTCTCTAGAAGCTCCTCTCCCTGCAGGTGAGGGTGTCCTGTACCTGTGCTTGCAGCAGATCCCAGCCCCAGGGACTTGGCTGCTCTAAGGGACCAGGAGAGGGGTGGTGGCACCACTCCCTGACCTCCCATCGAGTGCCAGCCCCTCCTGTGAGCTCCCTGGCAGGCTCAGAGGTGGAAATGACACACTTGTCACACACAGCCCAGGTGTGACCCCAGAGCCACCACGGGCCTGGGACAGGAGAGAGCAGCACTGAGCACTTGCAGGGAGGCCTCTCCTTTCCCAACCACTGAAAGCTGCTCTGCTCTCAAAGCCAGCTGCAGCTACTGGAATCCAGATCTGCCTGAATAAACAAAGCTGAGGTCTCCAGAGAAGCTTCCCTGCTCCATCTCAGCTTTGGGAACAGCACTGCCTGCTTTTCCCACATGCTGTTCCCTGCAAGGCTGGTACTGAGGCACCAGGGTGAGCAAACAGGTGAGGGAAGCATTTTTTTCCAGCATGGAGCAATCTGTGAGTTGCTGGAGCTGACTGCAGGACATAGCAAAGCCAGCCTATGGATTATTATTTCTCTTTTGGTCTCTTCAAGACTGGAAAATAGCTTTTAGGAAACTACTTTAGGGGCCCAACCTATGGGAAGGGAAGGATCTGCAGGAGCAGAAAACACTTGCACAGGGCCCAGGGCTCTGAGGGCACATCACAGCCCTTCCACTCTGGCTGGGTTTGTGGCACACACACCCCCAAAACCCAAAGATAAACACAAAAAGTGAAAAGGCAGTGGAGCTCTGCAGAGTGCTGCTTCCCTCCAGGGCATCCCTGGCATTCCAAGCCCCTCCAGAGGAACATTGCCCCTCCCTGTCCAAAGCTCCACTCCCAAGGGGAGCCTTCCCCTGGAGCTCCCCCTGCACCCTCTGCCCAACAGAAAACATCCAGAAATTTAGGCTCTCCCACAGAAATGCCAATGCCTCAAATCCCCCTCACTCCCAGCAGATCCAGGACACAAAACTCACATTCCCATTTCAGAGTAAACCTTTTTTCTTTTTTTTCTTTTTTTTTCTTTTTTCTTTTTCAGTCTGGCCTTTACCCTGGGTCCTCCTTTTACTGCAGGCTGAGTTTGTTTCACTTGTGATAAGTTTGTTTTCCTGCAGCCCCTTTGATTGTTTTTTTCCAAGATGAAGTATTCTGATGGTGCCTTCCCCTCTGAAGTGTTTTCCTTTGGGGATGGGGGGAAGGCACAGACAGACACTGCCAGATTTGGGCTGAGCTCAGCGCTCCCCCATCCTGACCTAGATGGCAAGAACACAGTCTCTGCCTAATAAAGCAAAATCTAAAATCGAAAGACTGGGAGAAAAAGGTGCCTCTGTTCCTGGCCAGCTGCAGCCCAGCCAAGCACCGGGGTGCTCCCCTGGCCCTGAGGTGAGAATTCCTTCTGCTGTCCTCACCCCTGGGCCTCAAGGAGGAAAAATCCCCCTGGAGGTGTCCCTGCCAGCCTGTGGGGGCACAGGAGGGTCAGCTGAGGCACCAGCACAGGGACAGACAGACAGACAGGCAGCACCATAGCCTGTGCCAGGGCCTGCTGCTCAAACCCTTCACCGTGGGGCATCTGCCACACAGTTCTGGGAAACGGATGAAAAAAGACAAAATAAAAAAGAAATGAAAGTGCAGGATGTGAGCAGTGCAGGGGCCAGCTGGCAGGGCTGAAGCACTGCCCTGCTTCACTGCCACAGCTCAGCATCTGTGCCACTTGGGCAGAGCCCCAAATGCTGCCAGGCCAACACTGCCACATCCAGCACTGCTCCACCATCAGCCAGAGCCACCATCCCTGCAGCAGGTAGGATTTACCCCTGGCTCAGCATGGCAGGTATCATCCAAGCTCTCCTGGGATGATTTCAGCTCTGAGGCACCCAGCCCTCAGACACTCCATCAGTGCCACTCCTCTGTTAAACAGCAAGGGCATTAAGGGACAAATCACAGCTTTCATTTCACTGAGGGCTCCTTCTTCTCCCATCTCAGCTCCTGAGAGAAAGGGCTGCCCACACTACAGGGCCTGTCTGAGCAGAGCCTTCCTCCCCTGAAGCAGGACCTGAGATGTGCTGGGTGATATGGAATTATCCCCAGCTCAGATTTGGCTATAATGACCCAAAGGAGTTTCACAAACAGAACCAGCCTCATGGCCTCAAAGAGTCCTCCAGAGCCAGCTGCAAGTGGAAGCACCACCTCACATTCCAGCTGAACCACATCTGGGTGCAAATGGCAGGGCTGCCTTTGTGGGGGATAATTAGCAGGGACGATTGTGCAGTGTCCAGGCAGCCATGGATGCCCCTCTCCCCAGGAGCTCAGCTGGGGGACATTTCCACACATTCCTACAGCACACAGGAATGAAGAGCCAGTGACTCCAGTGCAGTGTCCCACCCAGGGCTGGGGTTTCTATGACCCCAGATGTGTTCCTGTCACTGCTCCAGCCCCAGGGTAGACTTTGCTCTTTGTTTCTGCATCTCAGACAGCTGTCATGAGGGAGAATTTCACAATGGCACCAACCTCACACCCCCAGAGAAAATATCTCTTCACATTCCTCTGTTAATGAACTCATCAGCATGGCCTTAATCAGCTATCAAGCTCCATGAAGAGGAATGCAGCTGGAGGCACACAGGAACCTCCTTCCTGGAGGTTTGTCCTGCATTAACTCCCTGACCCTCCTGTCCAGGGGCTCCTTCTCCACAGGGAAACCAGAGGCTCCCTCTCCCTGCAGAGGCAGGAGAGCAGTTCTGACACTTGTTCCTTTTCAGTGTGCACCAGCTGAGCCCTCTGTTCATATCAGATTATTAACTGATGCCCAGCAAAGCTCTGCCTTAGCCTGCAGGGCCTGACAAAGCTCTGCTAGGAAAATGTGACCGTTCTCTGCCCAGTGGCATTTTCAGACAAGCAACAGTAAAAAAGGGAAAGACTTTGAGCATCCAATTAATCAGGAAGGCAGCTGCTGTCTAAGGGTGCTGGAAGCTTCCTAGGCTTTACCAAACATCCACAGGCAAGCCCTCAGCTGCAATCCAAGGCTGTTCTTGAGCCCTGGTTATGATTAATGTCCCTCGGGAGGGGCCTGTGTCCTCTCCATGGCCCCAGAAGAGATAAAGGCTCCACGTGCAAATCAAGCAGGACAAACTCTGACCATGTGAGAAGGGTTTGTGCCAGCAGCCAGGCCTGATTTCACAGCCCTTTTCTCACCCTACAGGACCCCAAAGCACCTCCAGGGGAGGAGAAAAGGTCCTTTGCAGGGGGAATACTTGGAAATGTTTCTCTTGGGAGCCACAGCACTGAGCAAAGGTAGTCCCCCTTCTCTGGTGTGTGAACAGCACAGAAACAGGCCCAGCTGTGGATGGGCTGTGCTTCCTGAGGGTTTGGGAGTGCTGAGGAGAAGGAATTGGTGCTTTTTGACCAAAATCTTTGGGCACAGGGTCCCAGTGTTCAGCCAGGGCACAGCCAAGGGCTGGATGCAGCTGGTCCATTGCTCACAGCACAGATTGTCCCAAAAGAAATGCCACCAGTGCTGGGGGACCAGAGAGCAAGGAATGGTGCACAGTACAGAAATGTGAGAATGAAGTACCAATGGCTCCTCACCTCACTCCCACCCTGTGCTGTAACTGAATTCAGGGCTGAGGTGAGCTCTTCTCCCCAAAATGCCATTTCATGGGGATGTTTCTGTGATTCACAGCCTTGGCTACACTGAACCAGAGTGACACCCACAGGTTTGGCCTGCATTGCTCCCTCCCAGGCAGCAGAGATCTGCTGCCAAGCAGAGGTCATGACAGGAAAGAAACTCGGTGATGGCAGATAATGAAGAGTAGTGTACGACTGGTCAAGAGGAAGAACTTCCTTTGCTGGAGAGGATGGAAGTAATAAAGCAAAATTAGCAATCCCTGGAAAACTTCCTCCTGACTGTGATGCCCACAAACACATAAATTGTCTGTGGCTGGCTGGGAGCCACAGAGAAAATGGTTCTGAACCATGCTGTTCTAATTCTAGTTCCTGGCTGCTGCTCTCCAGTGTCACTTCAGGAGTTTGTAAAACACTGGTGTCCTCTCCGTGTTTATTCATGCTCTGCAAGTCAGGAAAACACAATCCCAGATGCCAGCTGGAAACCATCAAAAGCAAAGAGAAGCGTGTACCTGGTAGAGAATCCTTCCACTGGGGGACCTGAGCCGGGTGACAGAACGCTGATCCACCAAATCCAGAGCTGGGATTGCAGCTGGGCCAAAAATGAACTTCAGCCTGGAAGAGAATGGGTCTCCAGTTAGGTCACAGCACAAAGGGAGACCCCCTGGCTCAGCCTCAGGGCACAGAGGAGACCTGAAGGAGCCCATTGCAAAAGTAAGACATTTTTCCTTGCTGCAGGAACTGGAAATGTCCCACCAGCACAAAGGCACAAACAGGGATTTTAGTGGAGCACACAGAGCCAGACTTGCCAGGGCTCAGGGCAAAAGGGGCTCGTGCTCTGGGACTCCTCAGCTCTACAGTCCTGGATGTGCTGGATTGATCAGCTGGTCTTGAATCCCACCTCCAGGCATGGAGCACACAGCTCCTTGGAGAAAGGGGAGTGCAAGGATGACCCACAGTTCCTGGAGCAACAGGAACTGGGGCTCCTTCCTCATTCCCTGGAGATCAGCTCAAACCCTGGGGGACAATTGAGTCATCCTGCAGTGATCACATCTCCTCCATCACTGTCACCACTGAGGGATAATTTATCCTTTCTCTACCCACCAAACTGCATCAGGAGGAAGCTAGAGAACATCAGGGAATTACTCCAGACAATCCCCTGCATATGGAGACACCAGATAGCATCAGCTGTACCTCTGGGACCCAGCTAGGAGCAGGGCTCAGAGACAGCCAAGTAATTGCAGATAAAACCCCAGGGGCAGCACCTGCCTGATGTCCCTCCACTGTCCCTAAAAATACTTTCCCTTTCAGGGATCCACAGTCTGGGATGAGGACCACTGCACATCCCAAAGGGGGATTTTGTCTCCTGCTGGTGCTGTGCAGGGGTATAGGATAAGGTGTGTGTTAAATATGGACATCTGCACCTTCAGCCTATTGTCCAGAGAGCTCATGGGCTCCAAAGTCATCCTAGACCAGCAAATCCAGCTGCTCTGAGTGTTCCCAAAGAGCTCAGGGGCAACTCAGTTAATTTTACTGACCTTCCACCAGCTGAGAAAAATCTGTGTAGTCTGTATTGGTTCCAAGGGTAAACAACAAGGAAATCAGCAGTGATGAAGAGATAGCACCAAACAGAGGAGGAGACCAAGAGAAAGGGGAAAGTTTCCAAGGCCAGGGAGGACAGAGCAAGGCAGAGCCCCAGCAAGGCTGAGTCAAGCTCATTGATGGGCAGCCAAGCAGACAGATTCCAGGAAGACCAAAACTTGCACAAACTCAAGGCAAGAAGGGCTGGCTCCATCTGAGGAGGTGGGTGGGGAACGCTTAACTAAGACATTCCTTCATGATTAGGTTTGGAACTATAAGGGGGCTGAGTTCAGTGAGTTTCAGGAACTCTTTTCAAATCTAGGGAATTCTTTTCTTGTGTATATAATTTGATCAGTTCAACAGGAAGTGCCCACAGGAAATTCAAGGACTTTGGAGATTTGGAAGAGATTGGGAAATTAAATCAGAATACGTCTGAGCTGCTGGATGCAGGGAATTGATGGAAATCTGGCTGCCAAGAGTTACCACCATTATTAAACTTAACAAGGGAATTTCTCTCCTCTTTTCTGAGGAGAAGGAAGCAAAAGCTTTCAAATCTGATCCCACCTTTCAAAGGCCACTGTGATCCCAGGAGAGGGAGTCAGCACACCTTTCACAGGTGGTGTGTCAGATAACTTTAACAGAAAGGCATCAAGGCCTGGAGGGTTCCTGGTGATCTCATCCCCTGGCAGGCAAGACACAAGGTTAAAGATGAATCTAAAATTCTCTTTCACTGTGACAATGCCTCTTCTCCACCTTCAACACCAGTTGGTGAGGGCTGAAGTTGTGAAACTTGGATCTCTTAGGTTACTGCTGGGAATGATTAAATTATTCACAGGGTGACAAAGCGGACCTGAGCCCACCCCAAACAGAAGAAAACTCTCAGTCTCCAAGTTAACATTTCCCCTGTGCAGGGTGATGATCAGGACACTTCTCCCTCTCCATCACACGTGCCCATGACTCAAACAGCAGGAGTGAGCTCAGGGTGCTCAGTGGCAGGAAGGCAGAGGGATGAATCACCCTGGAACACAATCCACTCCCACAGCAACTCCTGCCAGACCTGAGGCTGGACTCAGAGCTCAGGTTCAATATCTTGGGTTTAAATTAGAGCAAGTCATCACAGGAGATGCTGTGATACAGAGATCATTTTGTGAATTTCTGGAAAAAAACCTGTCAGAACGTTCATTTACAAAAACCACCAGCGTTTTTGTGTTTCAGCAGCACTTGGTCAAACACAGTGGAAAACCAGGATGAGAGCTGACCACCAACTGCCCTTCAGCAGGACACTGGGGCAGGAACTGAAGCTGAAGACACTCACCCCAGCAGCAGCTCATCAGGGACTGCAACAGAAAGAAAAGGAAATGTGATTTTGCAGAATTTCGCATCACAGGGGGGTTATTGTCCCCCTCAAGGTATCCCCAGAAGCCACACAGGACTGCAGAGATCTCAACATCCTCTCTAGCCACCAAAAAAGCAATAAGGAGCAGCAAAATGATCCATGATGGCAGTGCTAAGGCACTTATCAAGCACAGCAATCACAACCACAGGGATTCATTTTAAAAAGAAATGCAGAAGCCCAAATGGATTTTCTTTTATGACATCTTACTTTTAAAAGCACCCAATAAAAGGCAGGAGTCCTCAGCCTGGTTAAAAAATATATATATATTATTTTCCCTGAAACTCTCCTGGCATGAGTTGAGAACTCAGGCATTACAACTTTAAAAAAATGTTGTTCTTTTCCCAGCACACTCTTGCAGGGCGCCACTGGTTTATGAGCCCACTGAAACATTTTGTCTTCATTTATTGTCTCCTTAAGATGGAAAGTTACACTCAAGCAAATTGTGTTTGTTGGACAGCTCAGGCTCTGCCTGTCCACTCTGATCTTTCTGTTATCACCCAGGGGACACAGTGTACTCTGTCTCCATATCCCACTGGAAGATCTGGATTTTTGACTTTAAAATAATTTTCTTCTGACAATTCAAAATACTCTCTATGACCTGCAGTGTTGGTTTGATTTTTCCAGCTTTATTTGAATTTAATTCTGCAAAGGGATCAATCAGTTTGTCTCCACAGCTCTGTCTCTACATGTGCTTTAGTACCACTCTGCTGCTGTAAAAAGGACGTCTTTAAAGGGATGTAAACTTTTTTTTTTTGCTTAGTTTACAACAGGATTTATAAAGCTCTTTTAAAAGTCACATGTAGATTTTGGATCTACTCTAACCTGACAGAAGTCACAGTGCAAGTGTGCCAAAAAGCTGTCACTGGGGTCACTCTGACAGTTTAGACATGAATTTTCTGCCCATTCCTCACTCCCACGTAGTGCTCAAGACAGATTTATCTGAATTCTTATTTGTTTGGGTTTTGCAGTTAAAAATATTCCTTCAGCAGACCCTTACTTTGTGAAGAGCCATTCTGTGCAACTCATCCAGTAAACACAAACACAGATCCAGCAAAGGTAATTATTCCTAACTAGCTGCTGGAACTGGCCAGGGTTTCGGCGCTGGCTGGGGTTCCTTTCACTGAAGCACTGGGAAATTGTTCCTCGCCCTGGGATCAGCAGCACGCCCCCTCTGCCGGTCAGTCAGGACACGGCTTGGGGAAATTCCCCTTTCCAACCCCAATTTTGGGATTGGTGAGTCTGTAGAACCGGCAGTGCAGAGGGCACAGCAGAATTCTTGCCCGGAGGCATTAATTTATCATCTCTTAAGTGTGACCATGTGCACCAGGAGCTCTAAGAAGCAGCAGTCTCCTCATAAATCTCACAAAGAGTCTCCCAACTGGTGTGATTTTTGAATTGGACTTGAGGAGGGGCTGCTCCTCATTATCTGTGCTTCACAGCTGTCTGTTGTCACAAAAAAGGGACATAAAGGTCCAGACAACAGGGTCTGGTAGGAGAGGGGAGGCCAAGGCCCCTGCACACTCGCTGGGGGTGTGCCAGGCCACTCCTGCGGGGCTCCTTCACGTACCCTGTGAGGTCTCCTGAAAAGCCTTTTTGATCTCTCTCAAGAGCTCTTCTGCCACAGCTGGCAAGGTGCTCCTGTCCATCCCACCGGCACGGGCTCATCCCTGGAAACGAGACAGGACAGGAGACAGAGGGAAATCTTCAGGGTCACCATGGATACTGAGCATCGGGGGGGATTATCTGGGCACCCCATCCCCACCAAGGAATGACATACTTTAAAATGTTTTAAAACAACTTCTAAGGTTTCTTTGTTTTTGTTTTTTTCCCCACACGTTCAGGAGGGGATTCCCCACCGACACACGGGTGTCTCTGAGATGCACCACAGCAGCAGAGCTCCCGTGGGTGTTCCTCACTCAGGGGCACTGCCTGGCCCGGTGCTGCTGCGGAGCGGGAAGAGCCGGGACAGAGCCGGGGCAGAGCCGGGACAGAGCCGGGGACAGAGCCCGGGGCAGAGCCGGGACAGAGCCCGGGACAGAGCCGGGACAGAGCCGGGGCAGAGCCCGGGACAGAGCCCGGGGCAGAGCCGGGGGCAGAGCCGGGACAGAGCCGAGACAGAGCCCGGGGCAGAGCCGGGGCAGAGCCCGGTGCAGAGCCGGGACAGAGCCCGGGACAGAGCCGGGACAGAGCCGGGGCAGAGCCGGGACAGAGCCCGGGGCAGAGCCGGGCCAGAGCCCGGGACAGAGCCGGGCCAGAGCCCGGGCCAGAGCCCGGGACAGAGCCGGGACAGAGCCCGGGGCAGAGCCCGGGGCAGAGCCGGGGCAGGGCCCGGGGCAGAGCCCGGGACAGAGCCGGGACAGAGCCCGGGGCAGAGCCGGGACAGAGCCCGGGGCAGAGCCGGGACAGAGCCCGGGACAGAGCCCGGGGCAGAGCCGGGACAGAGCCGGGACAGAGCCCGGGGCAGAGCCGGGACAGAGCCGGGACAGAGCCGGGACAGAGCCGGGGCAGAGCCCGGGGCAGAGCCCGGGGCAGAGCCGGGGCAGGGCCCGGGGCAGAGCCGGGACAGAGCCGGGACAGAGCCGGGACAGAGCCGGGGCAGAGCCGGGACAGAGCCCGGGGCAGAGCCCGGGGCAGAGCCGGGACAGAGCCGGGGCAGGGCCCGGGGCAGAGCCGGGGCAGGGCCCGGGACAGAGCCGGGACAGAGCCCGGGGCAGAGCCGGGGCAGGGCCCGGTGCAGCCCCTCAGGCGTTCCCACACGGGTGGGATCCCCAGCGCTTCCCGGGAGCTGCTCCTTCCTCAGCTGCTCACCAGGGCGGGCAGAGCGGCGGGACCCGCTCGCTGCCGGCTCCCGGTGCCGGTGCCGTTCCCAGTGCCGTTCCCGTTCCCGCGCCCGGCCCCACACCGGGAGTGACGTCACGCCCCCGCCCCGTGCCCGGCGCTGACGTCACGCGCGCTCTTAAAGGGCCCGCTGGGGATGGCGGCGGCGGCGCTGCCGCGGGCGCTGTCCCGGCTGTGCCCCCGGCGCTGCCCCGCCTTGCCCCGGCCCGCCTGGACGGGGGGACACCGGGGACACCGCGGGGACAGCGGCAGCGCGGGGTGGGCGCGCTGGGCACGGCCGGCCGGCGCCGCGCTGGCCTTCCTGGGAGGTGAGAGGGGCGGCGGGCACGGGCACCGCGCCGCCGGCGCCGGGCACTCACCGCGCTGTCCCCGCAGGCTTCTCCCCGTTCCCGCGGGACGCCGAGGAGGACGGCGAGGACGCCATCGTGCTGCTGCTGAAGAGAGCCAAGGTGAGGCGGTGCGGGCGGTGCGGGCGGTGCGGGCGGTGCGGGCGCCCGGGTGACCGGCGGTGACCGGCGGTGACCGCGCCCGCTGTCCCCGCAGCTCAGCGCCATCAACGGGGAGCTGGCCCAGGCCGAGCAGCTCCTGCACCAAGCCCTGCGCCGGGCGCACCAGCAGGAGAACCGGCAGGCCGTCATCTACACCTACAGCATGGTGAGAGCCGGCCTTGCTGCTGCTGAGGCGCGGCCGCATCGCCTCGCCGGAGCTTGAGCGCTCTGTGTCTCTTCCAGATGGGGAACGTGGCATACATGCAGGGACAGCTGGACAATGTGAGTAACTCTGGGTTTTCCCTCTGAATTTTTAGAAGTTGACGTGTTGTGCACGGTCTCAGGTATGGGGTGCTTGCACACACAAGCTGCAGGCTCAGAGCTGTGGGGCAGAGATGTCCCAGTGCACAGCAGAATGATCCAACTCGGGATTGCAGTCCCATGAACACACCAGGTGCTCTCACAGTTAAAGGAGGGAATACTTCTTACTGTGAAAAGCTGCAGTTGAGCACAGAGATGCTCCAAGGAGAATCTGGGAAAGCCCTGAGCTCACAGAGTAAAGGTCTGGCTGCTGCTGCAGTGCTCCTGCAGAAACTGAAAGGACTCACTGGTTCAATACCAGTGGGCTCTGGTCAGCCTTTCACCTCTAACTGCTCTTGCTGAGTGTAAACACAACAAATTTGAGCCAGTTCCCTCTGTGTAATTTGCCTCTGTTTTGTTTTAAATGCCATAATTTCTCAGTATCCCCTTCAAAATTCTTGTTTCAGGCAGAAAAGCTCTACAAAGCAACTATGAGCTATATGCTTGCAGGGGACACAAAGGAGGTATGTTCTGAGACAGGTTTCCAGTGGGGCCCTTCTCTTTACCTTATTTCTTGTGCTGTAATGCCTCTTACTGGAAATTTGGAATACTGTAAAGGATGGCAGCACTGGAGGCAACAAGATGGGGATCTTTAATGTCTAAACTCTCTGAAAAAGTAGTCTTTTTGTTGGGAAGGTACAAGAAGAGTAACAGTTACGTTGTGTGTCCTCCTGGCAGGATGACAACGCCATCCTTGAGATATCCCTCAAGCTGGCCAGTATCTATGCTGCTCAGAAACAGTGAGTTCCCAGCTAGAGGTGGCACTTGCTTTCATCTCAGCTTTGCCATGCTGGTGAGGTGGTCAAGCAGAGGATCTTTAATGAGGGATCCTTCAGGGACAGAAGGAGCTTTGCTTTGCACTTTACAGGCACAAATTAGCTGTAGCTGGCTACCAGTTCTGCATCTTGACCTTAGAGGAGAAGATTGCCAAGCAGAAGGACTTGCCTGAGGATGTCTTATCAGGTGGGCAGCCTTGTCTGCCAAAGGCTTCTCATCTTTTTTCCATTTCCCTGTCCTTGATGTTGTTTCTGAGTGCCATCTTCATGTCAATCCATTGTCTTCCCACTGCCTGAGTTTCTGCTGTGGTAGGATGGGGGTTCATGCTGAATCCTGTGGCAGTGATCACTTCACTCCTCTCTGTTTGCAGCTGAAGAAAAGGCCAACACGCAGCTCCTGCTTGGGATGAGCCTGGACTCCTACGGCCGCTACCTCCTGAACATCAACGAGCTCCCAGCAGCACAAAAGATGTATGAGAAGGCTCTGCAGATATCAAATGATGTTCAGGGAGAGACTCATCCACAGGTGATTTGGAGTAGTAGGACTCCAGGGAAGGAAAGGCTGATCTGTAGGGAATGAGGTAGCCTTGGAGCAGCTCTGCTGCCATCAAACATGGCCAGGAAGGACGAGCATGCAAATACAGAAATACAGGCTACTTCCTTACTGAAAGCTTCTTTGGGAAATACTTCTTTAACTGGTGTGGCAGGGAATGAATGTGTGCTTCTGCTGCCCCAGACTGCTCCACAGGCTTCCCTTTTCCCTCCTGGTGCAGAGTGTGGTGCTGATGAATGACCTGGCGACGGTGCTGGACGCTCAGGGACGCTACGAGGAGGCGCACACCTACAGCAGGAGGGCAGCAGAGCTGGCAAGGGACACAAAGCACCCCGAGGAGCACATGGTGCTCAGTAACCTGGCAGCAATCCTGATGCACAAAGGTCAGTGAATACATGCCCAGCCACTGAGCTTGTGCTGAGTGCAGGGATCTGGATCTGTGTTGTAGGGGTGAGCTGCAGTGCTGGTTTGGGGTTATTAGTTTTAGTTTAGGCAGTAGATGTGACTTTGAATTGGTTTCACAAACTGAGCCAAATGGTTTCCAGGGGATCTTGTTTCCCATGTCCTTAGTCCCCAGTAACTTTTCCAAAAGGACAGAAGACATGTGTGAGATTTGTTTCTGTGAGATTTTAATGCTGAAGCAGCACCAGGTCACATCATCACTGCTGCTCTCCAGCTCTCAAAACCTGGCAGGATGTTTTCTGAGCTTCCCTAGATCTTGATGTGTTCCAAGTAGTCCTTGTCCTTTGCATGTGATCAGCATCAGGAGGAGGCTCTGAAAATGGGTGATGGAAGTGGGTAACCAAGCCTTTTTTCTCTCTTGCTACAGAAGATTTCTTGCAAGCAAAACAAATGTACAAAGAAGCCCTCAAGCAGGCACAGCAGAAGGGAGATGCTGCTTCTGTACAGCATATCCAGGAGGAACTAGCTGAGCTGGCCAAGAGGAGAAAGGGCTCCAAATAAGTCTGGCCACACAGTGCAGCCTTGAGGTGACTGAAGGCAGCAAGGGTTGGTCAGCACAGGCAGCCTGCGAGCAGCTTGGTGCAATTCTCCAGAGAAACAGCAATGAGGAGTTCCAGGACTGCTTAAGAGGAAGGGCTGCCACTGCCTAACAGCCCAAAATAAAGGTGTGAAATCTTAACTGTGTGAATTTGTGGTGTAGTCTGTGGTTTGACTGACCTGCTATGCTAAGTAGTTTAATTTTGGCTGCCTAAGTGCAAGTCTGGTCAGGTATTAATACTGTGTTAGTCAGTTTGCTACTCCTGCCTGCCCACAGAAGTGTTCAGGTTCAAAACATGGCTGTCCCAGAGCAAGTCTTGAAAAGGAACAGGCAGGAATTGTCTCACTCTTTACATGTTGCACAGCACAACAGGGGCTGCACTTCTATCAGTGCAGCAGCTCAGCGTTTCCCAGGCTGTACCTGCCCTGCAAGAGAGCTGCAGCTCCCTGTCCTGGTCCAACAGGTTGTGTGAAGATCAAATGGATTTCTTCATTTAGCATCCAAAAATAGAACTTGTCCTCTCAGAGGAGGGGTGAGGCTGTTAGCACACAGAGCTGCTGTCAGAAATAAACTTGGCTCCAGTGGAGAGCACACGGAATGCCAGAGTTGTCTTCTCTCTTGGAGAGGTCAGTGCTTGAATGCTGAGGCTTCCTGTTGGAAAAGATGCTGTGTACAAACCCAGCTTTGTCAGCTACGTGCCTTCATGTGAATCAAGTATGAACAGCTGCTTTAGACAACAAAATTTCTCAGTTCTGCCCTGCCAGGAAGCCTGATGTTAAAGAAAGAGGAGAATTAAACCAGAAATCACCAAATCCATATTTAGTTAGGATAGTAGAACTAATTCTGTCACTATCCAAGCACAATTTTAACTTCTCAATTCTTAGAACTGCAGCTGGTTGGTACAACCCTCAATGTAATGACATCATTATTAATTTACTTACAGTAGCAGCTTCATCTCTGAACTTTGAGCTAAGAGGAAGAGGCACACAGGTTTTCTAGAGCAGAAGTTCATTGAAGCTTCATGGAAAACTTCAGTCACATACACAGCTTTGTTCTCAGCAAGCTAGGAAATAAAAATAAGGCTGTACTGACAGAAAGGCTCTAGCACATTAGCCAACCTTCCCTCAAGTGCTGGGTTTGGGGTCTGAAGCAGCAGAGCTTGGAGGGCAGCAGGGTCACCTGGGACCCCTGCACTGCCCTGGGAGCAGGGTCTTGCCTGATGCTGCAAAACAAAAGGGAGACACAGGAAAAGCAAGTGGAGAACTGATCCCCTTTATTGATTGGTCTGAATCCAGAAGTCACTGTCTAGTGAAGACATTGTGTGGAAATTATGATGCATGGGTTTTTCAAGTCTTAAATGATTTCATATCAGAATCACGAACCATATCAAGATGAAAGCATTGTGAAAGCGCTGATCAGAAATCAGGTAAAAATTTGTAGTAAACTACACTTTGTAAACATGACTTACAAACACCTTCCTGTTTGAAACAGGGCAGATGTAATTCCATACTTGAAGATTACTGGAATTGTGGTAAACCCTAACTTAGGCTCTGGAGAGGTTTTTACACTGGAGAAGTTAAAACTTGGACAACAAACAAAAAAAAAGCAGCAACATTTTATGTGCAAATGCCACTCAAACTGTATCTTAGGAGATTGTGACTATCCTACTTTGGATATCTTGCTGCTGCTGCAGCAGTAACATGAAGCTTTGCAATGAACATGCTATACTTACTGTACAGGTAGCAAAGACATTTGTCTGTACATGCCTCTTTCACATTGTATTTGTTACATTAAGAAAGTGAGAACAAGTGAGTTTAAGAATGGAACTTAACTCTTCACTCCAAATTCAAATCTACAAAAAGGGCAGATCAACTCGTTTTCCAGTATATGTTGCTGTGGGAACCAAAAAGAAAGTTAAAATAAGAGCACAGGTCTACAAACAGGATGAAAATGTCACTGCTTCAAGCCAGAAGGGTAAAGGAGGGGAGGATGAGAGAAATCTTTCTCAGAGAAAGACTGCAAGGAGATTTAAGACTGCCAACAGATCTACTGTGATGCAGTAGTTTTTAAAAAAAGGTAGCAAAATAGTTCCGTATTTTCAACAGTGTCAAGTTTCCAAATGAGTTCCTTTGGAATTTTGTTTCCCTCACTTGGGGCAAAAAGGCTTTCCTTAAAGGACTGAAAATAAATTTGCTATTGATAAATAGTTCTGTGCTTCTTCCTGTTTGTAAGTGGACCATCACAGTCCACGGGATGCAGAGCTCACACGACTCAAGGTTACACACTGCATTACACCTTCCATACAGCGCATCACAAATACAGCGGCAAAACCCAAAATATTTTTCACTGGAAAATAACTCCAAGGCAAAGACCCTGTTGATCAATGAGATGCAAAAGCAGTTTGGAATCTGACAGACCACGCCACCCCCTAGCTCAGTGCTATCTGTGAATCAGTCCTTCTACCCCGGAAGATTTGAATTCACTTCCTGAGGTCAGTGCAGCATAAAATGAAGATGCTTTTGGAGATGGATGTCAGGACACCCTGTGACATCACTGCCCAGATGGATGTGAACATGAGCTACAAGCATATCATAGCAAGCCTTGATAGATGAACGATTAAGGAGACTCTCCTAGTACCATATACAATTTAAAAATAAAAATCACCCTAACAAGTATTGCACACTTCAGGAGTTAAGCCAAGCATTTGTAAGGACTTCCACCAAAAGCTTGCTTAGAGGGACAGGAACTGGGACGCAGACTTCAAAATAATTATTACATAAAGATTTTAAAATCAGATTGGAGGAAGGTAAAAATCACAGTACCTATTTCAAACTGGTTGTAACAGAAGCCAAGTAGTTGACTCGTGCATTGCTCAATTATTCTATAAAAGCACTTTGTTTTATTTAAACTTGGGATGTGGAGGTTTTTCTTCTTAAAGGATTTATCAACCCACCCAGAGCCTCTGTTCAGAAAAGCCATTTGCTGTGGTTAAATATGACAGTAAAATTTAGTAGCCTGTTTTCACTGCATACAATGCAGAAACAGAGAATACTAAGAATAGGCTTTTAGGGCACAGTTAAAATTCCCAGTGTGCATAACAGTGAGGTATGCCTCCAGAAGCTGTTCTTTTTTTGTTTCTTTAACCTTTTAAAAATGAACCATAACATACCCATGCAATAATATTTCTGCAGTGTTGCTAAATAAAACCAACTGCACCAAAAATTTACAATGTGGCAGAATTTCATATTCCAAAGAAATATATCATCTTATTCCAGCGAACTGGAGTTATGTTAATGTACAGAATTCACTAAGGGGTCAGTCTTAAAAATCAACATTTTCACAAGAGCTTGAACACCACTGAGAAAGTGTGTCTAGGGAAAAAAAATTATATAAAAGCACAATGCCTGCAGGAAGTGGCACGGCATTAAATGGGCAATGATGGTTGGGAGGTTGGGGTTCTGGTTAGGCTAGGCTGAGAGGGAGGCTAGGGTTATGAAGAGTATTCTACACTGGAGAAAATGCTTAAAAAAAATTACAAAATGACCCCCAAAGTTTAGGCAATGATTTGAACATAAGTACACCAGATACTATAGCAAGGGAAAAAACACTGCAAAAAGTACTCTCTATTTACAGAAGAATGATTTAAAAGACATTATGGTTTTCTTTACAAATAGATGTAGAGCAGGAATAGTCCACATTTTTAAAAACTCTTTACATATTTATCTTTAGTAAGTCAACCTTCTTGACCACAATCCTCCAACACACGGCCTGTTCAGAAGGCATTTCACAGACTCTCCAGCAATTCTTCATTGTGTGGCCCTTGCTCTCTTGGAAAGTCTCTGTGGGCACAAGTCAAAAATAGATTTCTTTTTTTGACCCGCAAATTAAAAAAAAAAAATAATCTGCATAGTTCAGTCATCACTGTCAGACAGAGTCTCATATTGTGCTGAAAGCAGTGGTGCAGGCTCTCGCTCCCAGATCCTGTTCTGTGGGTGAGTGGTTGCTTGGCTCATGGACGGGGGGGCACAGGCGATGGAGGTCGGGGGGGTGCTGCTCAGCATCCTCATGGTCAGAGGGTTGTATGGAAACTGGGTGGAACCTGCATCAAAAGGGAAAACACGAGCTGTTCTGAGACATCTGTGCTGGCCTGGGTTGTGACAATTAGCAGAAAATACATTGCAGAAAATCCCCACATGCTGGGAACTTCTGGCCAATATCCAGCGTTACAGTGCAACACCTGAGACTGCAAACACCTTTGAAAAGAGCCTGTTCCTCACCTGTTGATGAAGGCCTGTCTTCCCAGGCCCACACTGGAGTCTGTCTGTGGTAGTCCCCTTCTGAATGTACAGATGAGACAGAAGAAGGTCTTTCAGTTCCCAAATATCCCTGCCCAGGAATTGGAGACTTTGACTTCCTACTGTTTGACTTGCCGATGAGCTTCTGCTTGTTGACTGCCCCACCTAGCAACAGAAGGGACAGATTTCACCAACCACATTTTAGCCTCTGTGTGTTTGTTTCTAGAAATTATCAGGTAGCACTGAGAAGCTTTAGGTATCCAATACACCCTGTTCTCCTTCTCCTGTTCCATCAGTGTTGCTCGAAAAGCCAGGACGATTAATGCAAACACCACCTCTGCCAATTACAGAGGAAAGACAGTGATTTTCAGAGATACCATGTTATTCAAACCCTTGATTTATTTATTTTCTTTAAGGCCCTGGGATATTTGGGAGCTGCAATACCTGAATTTGGAGATGGATTGGCTTCTTCCCTACGTGTCTCGTTACTCGCCGGTACCGCGGCGCCGGAGCTGCCCGCAGCCACCGCGAGAGGTTGGGACATGACGACCCCGTGCTCCTCACTCTTGTCATCAAAGTTTCCCATCAGTGCTTTCCTAATAATGTCTTCCAGACCCAGATTACTGGCAGGATCTGCAAAGGAGTGACCCCTAGAACTGACTGCACCTGGGAGAGAAGAGAAAACACAGGGAAAGGTGGGAAGGGAGGCAAAAGGTGTATCTCGGAGAAATTAAAAAGGGGCGTAGGGAAAGATTTAGTCATTTTGCTTTTCCTTATGGTGCAGGAATCAAGTTTCATGTAGGATATTAGCTTTTAAATTGGCACCATTTTCCTCTTTTACTGGACTCCCCAAAG